TATTATATATATATAATATTTGTAAAAGAAATAAATATATCAAATAAAAATCAAAATGCTGCTTTTTAATTATATATTGTGACTGTATAAAACAAAATATCTATATATACTAATATTAGTTTTTAATATCGGCTAGTAAACCAATATAGATATCGGGATATTAAAGTAATCTCTTTATTTATCTTTATATATACCGTTATTCACCTTTTATTTTGCTATAATCTGCCCTTTAGTCAACTGATATTTATCTTTATATGTACCATTATTCACCTTTTACGTTGCTATAATTACCAATATCAGTAGCAAAATAAATGCATAATTCTTAAATAAAATATCGATATTGGGATAATAAAAGATACTTGTTATTTAGCCAATATTCATTTTTTTTCTTCCAATATTCATCTTTTATGCTGCTATAGATCTGGCAAACACATGTAGGAACCAGCTAGATAATTATCATATAAAAAATCGATATCAGGATAGTAATAGATACCCTTTATTTATCTTATATTCATCTTTTATTTTGTACCGATATCTATCCTTTATGCTACCATAGATCCGCCAAATAACTGTAGCAAACCAGATTAAAAGTAGACATATAAAGGATAAATATCAGGACATAAAAAGGTTCCCTTTATTTACCTGATATTTATCTTTTATATACCGATATTCATCATTTATACTGCCATAGATTTGGCAAACACATGTAGGAACCAGGTAGATAATTATCGTATAAAGAATTGATATCGGGATAATAATAGATACCCTTTATTTATCTAATATTTATCTTTTATTTTGTACCGATATCTATTCTTTATGTTACTATAGATCTGCCAAATAACTGTAGCAAAACAGATTAATAATAGATACATAAAGGATAGATATTGGGATGATAAAGGGATACTGGTATGTATCCTTTATGTATTTATTGAACCTGTGATATATAGTATAAATTAAATTTAAAATTTATATTTAATTATTTATCTAGTTCTATATTGCCCAGTTATACTAAAGATCAACCCTGGCAGTAGTTTTTGGGGACTTCTGGAGTCAAGTTGGGAACTTTTCACATTCCAGGTCTTTTATATAACCATCTACAGTAATTCATGTAACTGTTTTCAGGCAACTTTGCCAGGATAATTTTATTATCAAATGATTGGTTAGATTATTTTTGTCTGACAAAAATCATGTATTGGGAAGCTATTAATTAATGTTTAGCTCTGTATCATCAAAATTCATCTTATCTAATTGACTTTACCTTTAATGGAGACCAAAAAATGCTAGATCATTCTTATGACTACAAATTCATACCTTCAGGGTGTTATTTGTCTCGCTAAATCACTTATGCATGTAAAAACCAAATTTTCCCTTCTTGTTTTAGTACCGAATCTTGAGAATAAAGAAACTAATCTTAATTGTAAAGATTATGATGAGCTTATTCGACTTGGTTCTAATTATAATTTTTGGTTTATTGATATAAAGGAGATTAGTCGTATTCACTTTAAAGTGTATCAATATATTTAGAATTACTATAAAGAAGTGTTAACCAAAATTCGAGCCTGGGATGTCGAAGATTATAACCTTGTAGGTCTTTTAGATACAGATATGTGTGTTTTACATAATATAGATGAACTTTAGAGTTAGATCTAGATTACAATACTATCGCTACATGCCACATATGTATATGTAATCTATTAAAAATTCTCTCATACTCTAAAAGCTGGTATATGATTTTTTAAATTTTAATAATTGCTTCGTGTAGTAATCTTAAATTTCCATCAACATCAATAAATATAATTACGTAATAGGACTCCAGAAAATTGCGTTTACATGAAAGGTCCAATTTACTCAGAATCTACTAACAAGCCACCAATTACTAATGCTAAAAGTTATTTCAATACTAGGTTGATTATATTACACCCTTCTAAATCAAAATTTAATAAAATATATGACTGTATTATAAATTATGAAAACTCTGATAAATTAATTTTTCTGGAACAGGATCTTCTTAATGAAATCTACAAAAGAAATTGGATAGGGCTGCCTTATATTTATAATGCTTTGAAACCATTGTGTAAATATTATTCGTTGATTTGGTTGGATAATGATTTAAAGAACGTTCATTATATAATCAATAAGCTATGGAAAGAGAATTTTAATAATGTGAGGGAAATGAGAATGGATGAAAGGAGAGATATTTTAAATAATTGGTGGTGGAAAGTCTATCAAGATGAAGAGTTGGAGAATGGAGATTTTGAAGTTGTTTCAGCGTAATTACATAATATGACAAAGCTAATACAGTGTCAAATTTAGATTCGCCATAAGCAAGAGAAATTAAAAAAGCTTAGGTAGCCAAATGATTTTTTTTTTTTTTGACATCTTTTTGTGCTTTGCAAATAGGTCCTTATATTCGAACAATTTTATACTAACAGTTGATTAATTTTTTGAATTTATATTTAATCATTTTTATTGTTTTTTTTAATAATAAAATTTGTATATTTTGTTCTTTACAAAAATTTAATAGGAAAGAAGCGAAAAAATAACCTGCAAATACATTAGGGAAGTGTCATTTATTATCTGATTTTTTTAGCAGGGGAGTGGGTACCAAAGTATCATGCTGATAGATTACATGTATATATATGTTTATATATAATTGTAATCATTTGCAAGAAGAAGAAATTTTACTATTTACAAAACATCAGCTGATAAATAATACTTCTCTTATTGTCAATTTATCCTTGATTATGAATAGAGAGAGGTGCAGGCGAATCGTCCCAATAATGCTGTAACGTGCCGTAACTATATTAATTGATAATTCTCCAGTCAACTGATGCATGATCATAGTAAAAAGTGACTCAGATTACTATATAAATTTACTATGGTGTGAATATGGCGTTCGCCCAAAGTAAACTTTTTTCATACTAAGTTAATCATCTTTTTTGTTTAAGAAACTTTTGTAAAGCTTGTCAAGACGTATCTAATGGTGGTTAGAGTGTCAAAAACAGCCTGGTGAGTACTGAGATATCTTTAAAAAACCTCTCTTTTACTATGTAAATTTCTTTGCAAACAATAGTATTGT